TAAAATACATATATACCCACATATTTGTGGATGAAAAACATCAGTGATTTCACTTTATTCTTTTGGTATGCTGCTGAGTTTCCTTCTCAAATTTGCAAGATATATTGAATAACCAGTGAACTCTGACTCCAGCAAAAATCCCCAAATGCTTTTTAATTAGGTCTCTGGATTTCCTTTAATGAAGATTTAAGTACTTTCTTTTTCATCATACATTGCCATTTGTTCTCATTCACAGCAACTCCAGAATTATAATGATTTATTAATTAAAAACTCAATATCAAGCTAAGTGTTGTTATTGTATCAGTAAATTAGTTTGGACTTCCAAAGGGCCCTTGGTGCCATATCAGATCACAGCAAAATGGCTCTTGGACTTGGACCTGCAAGGGAATAAAATATTGGTATGAAATGGCCAGCTGAGAAAGCTTTTGGTTAAGAACTATTTTTCTGTAATGGCTGAGAAACAAAAAGGAGCTACTTAAGGGTCACAGAGTTATTTCTAACAGTCTTTTGTTTAATCCTTAGTCTGAAGTGTGCCATGGCTGCAAAGTACATTTAGTTGAATGTCAAAGTGAGCTGTTACACAAAATGTCACACAGACGATATATACAGCATGTGTACAAATGGTATAAGAAATACAAAATGCCTGAACAGAAGCTCAACCGAGCCTTTTATGAGATGATTTTGCCTCTAAATTCAGACTGGGCAGCCAATATCTTGAGAATGGGAATACATTAAAAAGAGATGAAACTTCAGGCTAGACATTTAAGAAAGTTTTAATGTGGCTATAAAATATTACAATGAGCTCTTGTTTAAAACATACTCAGTACTGGACACGGGAGTAATAAAAGAGATTAAAAGTTAGAGAGACAAAGAAGAGCATAATTAGAAAGCAGACAGGGATAATATTACCACAATAAAGCTTTGACAACAATTACCAATGCTCCCAGAGAAAGGAAACATATTCAGTAAAAGTCCAGTGATAATGTAATCACTTGTGCTAAAGATGTGGCATTTCTGCATTTAGTGTAGGGGGGACCTTAGGTTGATTGACCTTGAAACAAAATGGGGAGAAGGGCTTCAAGGATGTTTTCAGGGTTTAACTAGGTAGAAAGGACTTGAGTTGTCTGCATTGCAGAAATAATGCAGTTTGACACCACTTTATCTGCCATGGTTTAATGCTGTGGAATTCTGTGATTCGTAGTTTTGTGAGGCATTTAACCTTCTCTGTCAGAGAGCTCTGGTTTGCCACAACAAACTACAATTCCCATAATTCTATTGCATTGAGCCATGGCAGTTAAAGTGGTGTTAAACTGGATTATTTCTGCAGTGCAGATGCAGCCCTGGTTCTCTTTATGCTGGCCAGTTATGGAGGTCTTCCACTCCTAGATGACAGGCATGAACAGAACAATCTGATAGAAGGGGGAAAACTTACAGCAGTTAGGATTTTGGGCTACAGATGCCAGAACCCACCAGCCAATATGGCCAATGGATTCATTGACTGGAGAATTCTGGGAGTTCCAAAGTTCTCTTTCAACATGTTCTGATCAAAGTTTTGCAATCCCAAAAAGTATTTTTTAAAAGCTCCGGAGAAGGGCTATACTTATCTCTTAATGCTTATCTCTAGAAGCCTGCCACCCTACCATGGGAAAGACATACAACAGAGAAACAGAAGAAAAATAGCTCTGAAAAAAAAATCTGACTCTCTTTTTTCCCATTCCTCTTTATTTTTGCCTCTTTCGTTGGCTGATTTTTCCCCTGTTGCCTACAGGATTTAAGCTGTAAATCTCTATACCTAGAAACCCATTCAGTTCTCTGGGCATGTATGGGCTTGCAATCTTACCTGTGCTTTTCTTCTCAGTCTTGTCTTTCTCTCTTTTTGTATACCTCAATGTTTAAATTAATAATTTTGCCGTTTGGACCCTTTCCTTACACTTTTGGGTCCCCACCATCCATTATATCTATATTTGTTTGTCCTTTCATTCCTCTGTTCTCACTCTGTTCCAGTGCTTGAAATAGTGAAGGATTGGACTTGTCGTTTTCTTATCTTGTCATTTTTCTCAACAGTCTTTCTAAAATCTTCCCATAAACTTTCAACAGTCTTCCCATACGAACCTGCCAGTTTTCTAAGATCTTCAGGGGAAGACTTTCTCTTGGTCCCACCACCATCACAGTCTCTCTTGGTGAGGATATGAGAGAGAGCCTTCTTGGTGGCTTCTCCCACCCCCTGAAACTTCCTTCCATTGAACTTTTATATTTTCTTATTTTTATTGTTTAAATGGTTGTAATTTGTTTTTTAAAAATGTATCAGATCTGCAAGATGACTAAACTGAGGTTGTCATATTTTGGCCATGTCATGAGAAGAAAGGACTCACTAGAAAAGACAATAATGCTTGGCAAAGTGGAGGAGGGCAATAGGAAAAGGGGAAGGCTACATTTCAGATGCTAGATTCAATCTGTCATGACCATGAGTCCGCAGGTGCTGAGCAGGATTTTTGAGGATAAAGTGACTTAGGGCTGATGCAGCCTGGGGTGGAGTTGGGGTGGGGCAACTGCACGCTGGCCATCCCGACTATGCCCTGACTCCACCCCGACTCCATCCCGACACCACACACCTGGCCGTACAGTACACTGTGTCAGGGCACTCTCTTGATGCAGCATGCGCACCCGCTGTGCCAAAGGGGCATAAAAGAGCCACCGTGGCAGCTCTAGGGGCGGCTTTTTGCTACCTGCAAAAGGAGCGGCATTTGCCCACTCTTTTGGGGGTGGCAAAAAGGAGGCTTGGGGATGCGGTGTGTGGTTTCCATGGCCCCGATTCGCCGGTCCCAGGGGTGGCCCAGAGCCACACCTTATGGGCCATCTGCATCAGCCCTTAGAGGTCGCTCATTCATTGGGTCACTATGCATCAAGGTTGAAGGCAGTTAACAACAACAAAAGGTTTTTTAACCAATTTTATATGTGAGCCACTTTGGCTTCCACTCTGGGAGAAAGGCAATAAATAAATAAATAAATAAATAAATAAAATTCACATTCCTCTTAGCCTTTCCCAGATTATCTGAATTATTTTTAAACATGATTGTAAATACTGTTACATACAGCTCTGGGTTTTTGTCTTTCCTCTTGCCCATGGGACAGATTAAATTTTAATCCAAAATCATTTTCTCTTTCTTTCTTGCCCTCTCTTTTCTTTCCACTGTTGACACTCCAAAGAGACAGGTAGCAGCACCGTCACAAGGTACTTTGTGCCTCAAAAACTAGAATAAGCCATAGAATAGACTAGGAAATGCAGACTTGCACATAAGAGGATAACAAGGTATCTCATCCTGGAACAGTACATCCTCTCACTGGATGGCATATCTTTAGAACTTTCATTCTCATTCTCCAAAGCCTGAGGCCAACCAGGGGCCCTTTCACACTACCCAATTATAGCACTATGATTCCAGTTCAGCTGCCATGGCTGTATCAATGGAATCCTGGAATTGACAATTGCAGAAGGAGCAGAGACTTCCTCTAGTGCTTCTGACCACATTGCAAAACTCAGGATTCCATAGAAAGGTATTGTCAGATTCCAAGTCCCATTGAGTCCTAGTTATCATGTCTGACTGTGAGAGATGATGGGGATAGTTCAGGGCCTTTTTAACACAGTGAGAGGCAAAGGGTTGAATGCTTACTTGAGGACTGTTTCACTGCCTCTTTTTCCATTATGTTTTTGGGGCCCAAGTTTGTTGAATCACGAAAGAAATGGGTTGACAACAGTGGAGCAATGCCAACATTGGTGTGACTACTCCATGTGTGAAGCCCATCCCATTTGTAAGGCTGGGGCAATCTTCCTTTTTGCCCTTCCCTCCTTAAAGGTCTTGAAGTTGTAGGCACAACAGCATCTGAAGAGGTCCAGGTTCTTCACTCCTGCCCTGTTGTCAGGTATAGGACCACTTCAGTTCAGAAATCCAAGCTTCTGGAAAACAGGAAAACTTTATTCTGAAGCCAAAGGTGTTCACAGCCGATTTATTCTATTTGGACTAAAGGTATGGCAGTTATAAAGCATGATAAAAGCACATAGAAATTCAAATTTTTGAGCAGGCTTGCACCCCATTTATCCATAAAACAAAACATTCTTACATCTTCCCTTTCTTAACATCACCCCTCCTAATCCCATTCAGTCATTCTCATGAGACCATGAAATGCCCTGTGTGATCTCCACACACCTGTTCATTGACACCAAAGAATGTGGCCAGCAAACATCATTGCAGTACAACATGCTCCATCATCCAGTAGTAAAATACTATAAGCACATAGGGTCTATCTCCAGCAGCTATGGCAGGAAATCTGAGGCAGTCAGATCCTGACACCTGTTTTGTTCATTTGACAGGAGCAAAATGATTTCCTTCCCAGCCCACAAAACTGGATCAAAGTATGCCCTTCAGTCTTCAACTACCAACTAAAACTGACTTATCAATGAGATTACTTAATCATGTGTAGAAAATACTATGTGCTGAGATACCAACTCAGTCTATCATCTTCTTGGCTTAACTGTCCTTGACCAGAAAAATTAGAAGCTATTCAGCAGTGTCCCTGAGGGTGTTATAGGGCGACAAAGGTTGTTGGCTTTAAGATTCCACTTCAGCAGCATTTTTCACTGTTCCAGTTCAGATGGAAGAATTATAGGACACTTCCATCTTATTGTGCCTTCACGGACTCTTTGGCCCTCTTTTGTCCTAATCTTCAAGCAAATTCTGGGGCAACAGCTCCTAGCTAAGGTCCCTGAAATGACCTTCATGATTAGCTAGGTGATTATATATTCTCTTGTTTCATGGAAACTTTTTCTTTGCACCTCCTACTTATCCAGAATAAAGTTATATGTTCATGTGCTGTATTGATTATATTTGCTTTTTTTTAATGACTTGTTTTTAACTGCTTTTAATTTTGTTGATAGTTTAACTGTATTTGTAAATTTTGTTCCATGTAAATATTCAGCTGAATCTGTTTTAACTTTTGTAAGGACAGCCAGTGTGGGATAGTGGTTTAAGCGTTGGATTGTGACTCTAGAGACTAAGGTCCAAATCCTTGCTCGGTCACAAAAACCCACTGGGAGACCTTGGGTAGGTCACTCTCTTTCAGCTTCAGAGGAAGGCAATGGCAAACTCTCTGTGAACAAATCTTGCCAAAAAAAATCCTGTGACAGGTTGTCCTTAGGGTTGCCATAAGCTGGGAACCATTTGAAGGCACACAACAACAGCAACAAAGCTAACTTAAATTCCAGACTGTAAAAGGTTGAAGATGATGGTGATAATGGTGGTGGTGATGGTGTAGTAATGGTGTAATAATTAAGCAGTACAAGGCAAATGCCTCAACACTGCTAAGTTAATTAATTTACACATTGTGATAAAAATCTGTAATCCAAATTCAAGCCATAGGTGATAGAACTAAAAAATATAATGCAGTAGTTTCATATCAGTCTCCCTTTAAAGTTCCTTCATCCGGGAACAGGAAAATTATGTTCTGTGAGAGAATATCCTAAGTGGCTGAAATGCTTGTCCACTGGGGTTTTTTCATCAGCATTGCAGTTTTGTGATATTAGATGTGTGACATTTGTTTATTTTTTGCATAGCAATTGGCCTTTTTTGACCTATGCAAACTGCACAAAAAATGGCAAGTATCACATTATAAAATTAAGACATGAATAGCCCTCTGATATTGTGGGTGATAATGTTAGATCCTGTAACCATCTTCCTGAACAGAGAGACAGCATGCAGGCACTATCGGGTCTTTGCTTTTCTTTCTTAGTTGTGTGATTAATTATAAAAACAAAATCAAAAAACACATCTCCACCTAGAGGCAGGTACCCCAAGTTTTTATTTGGAATTATGCTAAGAAAATTGACATGGGTGAGCATTTAGAGGTTGGCAAAGTTGTATCCCATCCATCTTGTGACTAAGCACATTCACAAAAGACTTGGGGACTGCAGAAAACCAATTGGGGCCATAAGTGGCCCATGGACCTTATCTTCTCCACTTGTTTTCTAGTCCGAATCTCATCACAACATTTCTAGTCCATTTCTCTGACTCTGAAATGTCACTGATAGAAATGATGGTGCCAACAGCATTCATTATTTAAAGGCCAGTCCTTTATCCTCACACCTGCCATTCTTTTTGTTTCTCCTTGTCATTTCCTTCATGTCCCTTAACAATTAAAAACTTTTATTTTTAAAGGCTATGTGCTTTGTGAAAGCTGCTTCAGGAAAAAGAAATGCCATTCTTGGCAACTGGGAATCATCTGAAGTGTTTGATTGTAAATGTAAGTTGTATCAGGAAACAAAACTGTGGATATAACTCAGTTTCTTATAGATTGGTTGTTTTAAAGTTCATTGGTTAATATATAGTTAAGTGAGAGTGAGAAAGAGTGGAGGACAAAGAAATCAGCTATGAATGTTCCAGCCTGGTAATTAGAATTTGAATCTTTGATCCAGTTTTATATAATGAGTCATCATGAGCTATGATGAAAGTTTACTTTTCGAAGAGTGTCTCATGTAAGAATATGCTCTAGGAGCAGGCAGTGATGTCCACTAGTATTTTCCTTAATATCCAATATTAGAATATAGTTGAAGTTATTATTTTATTGCCTAAGGAATTTGTGCAGGAAGTAGTTACATTTCTGGTTTAAATACAGAATTGAAACATAGATCCCCTCCAGATGAGAAAAAAAGTCTCTGAAAATCCCAGGTTTTGTTCATGAAAAAACTGATTTTATTTTGGAGAGCCACATGATGTTTTCTTCATCCTGAAGTATTTCCTGGGAACGCTTGGCATTACCAAGGACTTTTCATTCCTGATTCCCAAGTCTGTTTAAATTAACCCAATATTTTCCAAAATAAAATATCTCTCTCTACTTGGTTATCTGTTTGTATTAATCACACAACTAAGAACTAGCTAAGATAGTCATTGTCAGTAAACACATCTACTGTTTCCAGGACATAAATTCAACCGAGATCAAGAGGACTGTATGCACCAAAACAAAATGATTGTAATGTTTAACTAGAGTAATATTGCTAAGGCACTTTAGCACTTTGACTATAACTCTGAATAGTAGTAGAGAAGGCTCAGTGGATATGGGTGAAAATCAGTTTTTGAAATGTCTAGATATGATGGGGGGGCACAAGGGAGGGAAGGAAACCCAAGATATTTTAAGAAAGAGTTTGGATATTAACCTAGGAATATGCATGCAAAATAGAGCAAAAAGAACTGGAAACTCTTGATACTTCTTGAGACTGAGCCTTCACTTTCCATTGAAATGAGTGGAACTATAAGTCATGACTGATTTGTCTTAAAAAATCCTAAGGTCTTATATCTAGCAAAAATCACCACCCCAATCTTTACCCCTCTGGGAGACTGGAGAAGATTAGGATAGGATGGAAATGCCCCTCATCCAGTGTAGTGGCATTTCCACCATGTATGCCCCCAGGTTCCTGCAGAAATAACATCAAAAGCTTAGGAGAGCTACTAGTGAGAAGCCCCAAATGGAAGGTTCTGCTGACATATTGAAAAACATCAGGGCAGCCTTGTATAAACTGAATCAAAAACCCATTGTGTGCTGACAATGCAGTAGTGGTTCCCTAGGTCTCCCCCTATGTCAGGTGTGTAGGTGTTCTCTGTGAGTCTGAATCCATTCCCATATTTCTTCTAGATATTTTTAATTTGATCTCTTAATTTGACTTTACATAGGGAATTCTATTCCTGGCTCATTGTTTGAACACTAAACATGAAACAGCAAAATCAATCCTACCCCTATCTGTTGAAAAACTCAGCATGATAATACGTGCTTGCCCCTCTTTATGCATTTATTTACAATGTACATCATGCCCCACCTTTGTTATTGCTCTTTGTCACCAAGTTTACATTGACTTATGGCAACCTCATGAATGAGAGACCTCAAAGAGTCCCAGTTATTAACTGCCTTGCTTAGGTATTGAAAACTCAGAGCTGTAACTTCCTTGATTGAATCAACCTATCAGTGTTATGGCCTACTACCTTCTTTCTATTGAGCATTGTCATATTTTCCACTGATTCACATTGTCTCATACTGTGTTCAAAGTATGACAGTCAGCCTCAGCTTAGTTACCTTAACTTCCAGTGAAAGCCCCACCTATGTACATACGTGTGTGTGTGTGTGTGTGTGTGTGTGTATACCGGTGCCTTCAAGTCATTTGTTGACTTATTGTGATCCTATGAATTTCATAGGAAAGAACTTCTAGTGAAACTGCCACCTACCTACGTGTGTATGTATGTGTGTGTGTGTGTAGGTGCCTTCAAGTCACTTGTTGACTTACTGTGATCCTATGAATTTCATAGGAAGGAACCCTCAGAGGTGGCCCCTGGTATTCATTGGCAGTCTCTCATCCAACTACTAACTAGGGCTGACCCTGCTTAGCTTCCAACAGCAAATGGGATCTGGTGCCTTTAGGGTATTTAGGCCTTAGCCAGCCCCCTACTTACATCTACCTAAGTGGTTTCTGGTCCCAAAAAGCTTATGGCTTTTTTATATATGTGTTAGACTTAGGGCCTTTGCAGACTGCCAGAAATAGTGCAAATTGAGTCCACTTTAAGGGTTAGGGTTAGTGCTAGGGAATCATGGGAATTGTGGGCTTTTTTCTGAGACATTGAGCCTTCTCTGTCAGAAAGCTCTGGTGCCACAATAAAATACAGTTCCCATGATTCCCTAACCCTAACCCTAACCCTTAAAGTGGACTCAATTTGTACTATTTCGAGCAGTCTGCAAAAGCCCATAGATACCACATTATTCTTTCCTTTTCATTCATGGAGAAAAGCTGATTGGCTGTAATACAATAGATCACCACTTGACAGTCATTATAATAATATTTCTCCTGATTCAGATTTGGTAAGTTCTTACATGCAAATTTAATTTTGGAGCAAACTGCTACACAACAGAAATCTCAGGGTCTCATAGCATCCAGAATTACTGCTACTTTTTAGGAAAGACATTTTTGCTTGGGCACAGAAAAAGCAGTCAGATACTGTCAGGTTTATCCTCTGAAGCAATCTTATTACAGGTCATCACCTCTGACAGAGATTCAAGGTTTACTTAGAATCATTGGGGATTTCGCTTTGAAAAATAATGGAATTGCAAGTGTAATCCATTCTATCACTGAGTTACAAATAACTGGAAAGACTTCATCACTGTTTGAAAAGAATTCACTGGGTTAAGGTTTCCAAAATTCACTGGGCTGAAAAAGAAGGGGGTTTCAGAAAGAAAGAAGCCTTCTCTACAAAGAGAGTCTCTTTTGTTCTCATATTAGATATGTGTACTATTTCATATGTTTCCCACTCTAGGTGCAGAAACATGAAAGTCTGAACTTGAGAAAAGCATTCTGTGAAAATCTCTAGTAGAAGAGATTGTTATAACTGGGAAACTGTTGAATCTGCAGTCCAAATATCCAATAAATGACTGTTCACTTTCCTATGTGCTCCTCAATCCCAGTCCAGCTCTCTATACTTAGCTTAGCCACTCATGAAGGCAAATCATCAGAGGACATTTTCCCCGCTCTTCCATGGCACACAGGACAGAGATCTTCCAGTGCCATTCTATAAACATGAAGAATACTATTTTTCTCTCTCTCTAGTATTTTTGTTGCCAAGAGTGTGATGCAGCAGCTAAAAAGGCCAATGCAATTTTAGGCTGC